GCGCCGCCACGCCTGCGGCCATCGAAGGACCCGCGCCTGGCGCACATTCGGTCCAAGCGTGCGCGGCAGATGCAGTCGCTGCGCAACTACATCTACGATCTGACGCAGGAGCTCGAAGCGATCCCAAAGCGGTCGGGGCACATCGCGACGCTGTCGTGGCACGACGTGGCCAAGGCGCTCCAGGACGACACGCTCGAGCAAGTGCGTGAAAACCGATCGCTGAAGCGCCAAGTGGCCCATGCCAAGACGCTGCTTGCGACGCTCCAAGACTGGATGGCACGCGTCGTGCGGCCCAACGAGGTATGCCCGCCTCGCCTTCTCACATGCGCATATGCTTCACTAGCGTGTACCGAGCCTTGTCGAGGAGACGTGGCGCCACTCGCAGCTGCTCGCTGGCGACGACGCGTCGCGCCAAGTGGCGTACGAGTGGATTCTACGGCAGGTCTACCACAACACGGACAGAGCGCTTGCCCACGTGGCTTTTCCCACCGACGCCAGCCACTGCCTCGACGTGCACGTATCCTTTGGCGACGACATGGCATGCCCGCTCCTTTGCATTCAAGTCATGACGCAAGAGTTGATGCCATTTGACCTTGACGACGTCGCCGCCGGGTACTGGGTCGCCGAAAAGACGTTTGCTCGCGCGTACCGCGACCAGAGTTTGGCCGGGCCCCTCGACGTCGACGCCTTTTCACAAACACAGCGCCAAGACATCCAGTACCTCCCAGAAGAGATTCCGTACCCGGGCCAGCGCGTCGTCCGCTACAACGTCCTTAGCGGCCGGTTCCGGGAGCCCGATCGGATGACGATTGCTCTGCGAACGATTTTGTACGACGAGGCCGACCGCCCAAGGGAAGACATTGATGACGGACGCCAATGGACGATCGACACCAAGCAGTGGTACGACCCTCCGGTGCTTTAAACGACAGAGGTGGAAGCTAGTCGACTAGGATCGTGGCTGACCGCGTTGGACCGTCCATGACACGGTGCAGGACGTTCTACACGATCCGGCACCCGTTCACATCCCAAGGCGACGTGGCTTTGCGCGACCTCGCTGCCGTCTACAATGTCGATGCGGCAACTGACAAGGAGCTTTGTGCGCAGCTCACTGCCAAGCTGACCAAGGGTCACTTCGACCAGCGGACGTTCTTTATGCGGCACTATGCTGCGGTGCTCTGCCAACTGCAGCACTTGCGCTTGACCAAGGAGGGCAGCCATTTGTAATTGTCATCCACGATAGCGTAAGTTTAACATTCCGATTTATAAAAAAGCGAGCGAACGTCCGGCGAAGAAGCGCGGCGGGCCTCGTGTGGATCGTAAAGCTGAGATGCCAATGGTATGAGCCAATCACAGCGTCGCAATCCTGGAATTCGCACAGATGAGTACAGCAAAGTGCACTTTGGCTTCAACGTGGCGCGATAACCTTGCACGACGAATGGAGCAGCTACATCAACGAGAAGCCTCGCCCCCCGAACCAGAGTTTGTGCTCTGCTTCTTTTGCTGGTGTGTGCAATGCTAGCCGCCACCACCTGGATGGACAGGACGATGATGGTGCGGTCTTTCACACCGCAAACAAGAGTGGACTCTCTTCAGTATGGAGTGCCGGCTGTTGCGCGACTGCAGCCGTGGCGTAGTGATGGCGTCGTGTTGTAGGTGTAGACAGAATACACTGGGAACAATCCGAATTGTTCAAGTACTACTCTCAGCCGTTCATTACCAAACCCGATGTAGCCACTTTAGCGCCATCTCGTACTAGTATATAGATACTAGGTAAATTGTGCATCGACCCAACAAGCTTGCCTGCTGGGTGCCTTTTCGAGCCTGATGCGTGGTACTGCTCGGCAAATCGTGGCTACTGCAGCGAGCTGCTTTTGTGCGTGCGTCGTTCTCTGATCGCAACTCAGAAGCGCGTGTACTTGCCTGTGCGAATTGAAGCGTCTTGCGCGAAACCGGTTGGCGAGACCGGACGCTGCCCCAGCCGGTACAACCCAATCGCCACACAAAGTCGATGGTGGTCAAGCGGGCACGGCGCCGCAACCCCGAGACGCGCTGCGCCTTCAAGCTCGACGCGCTGAAGCGCGAGATCTACGACCTCCAGTGCACGATCGAGCGGCTCCAGCGGCGCCCGCGTGGCTCGTTGCTGGCTTGGGAAGACGTCGCCAAGGCGCTCCAGGACGACATGCTGCGGCTCGTGAGCGAGAACCGCCGGCTCCAGCGCACCCAGCGAGCGTATGCGCGCTTTTACCACGTCGTGCACGCCTGCGCCCAGCTCAGCATCGACGTACACCTCTCTCACTCGTCGTACCTTATGACTTGAGTAGCGCGTGCCGAGCGTGGCCGAGGAGACGTGGCGCCACACGCAGCTGCTATCAAGCGACCCGACGTCACGGGCCCTTGGCTGCGCATGGATTCTCAAACAAGTGTACTATAATACCCGCCGCGCCATGAGCGCGTTCGCCTTTCCCGAATCAATGGAGAGTGTCGTCGACGTGCATGTGACCGTCCACGACAACCGGCTGCAAATCCACGTGGCGACACAGCAAGTCGTAGCCCACTCGCTGCGTGACGTCGCCGACGCCTACTGGACCGCCGAGCAGTCGTTCGCGCGCCGGTTCGTCGGCCAAGACGACAGCGACGACGAGCGCATCGAGCTTCTCTCCGACTCGATGCAGTACATGCACGAAGCCCTCGCGTATCGTGATTCGAGCGTCTGCTACAACGTCCTCAGCGGGCGCTTTGATGACGCAGCAACGTCGACCTTTGTCTTGCGGACCGTCCTCCACGACGAGCTGCACCCAGCGGCACCGGCCGCGTGGGTCGTCGATACCAAACAATGGTACGCACTTGCATTGACAAAGTGCTCAAGACGACGGGTAGGACGGTCGTTGACGCGCTCTCACCGCACATGACGCGGTGCCGGACGTACTACGTCATTCAGCACCCGATGATTGGGCAAGAACAGACGCCCGTGCCTTTGACGGTGTTTGGCCGTGCGTTTGGCCTCGATGATCACGATCCATGCGTCCTTGCGCGCGCGGTGCAAGAGCGGTCGGCCGCCAACCACCGACGGCAGCGCATGAGCTTCCAGACCTACTTTGAGGGCGTGTTGCAGCGGCAGAAGGTCGCTGCCACGTCACAAGGTGGGCGTGCCCCGGGGCACACGACGCTGTGTTAGTTGTCGTCGGGCGAGCGTCAACGGTGCAAGCCGCCATTTCCCGCTCCGTGGGATGCGAAATAATACACACCGCCTGTCGCTAACTCAAACTCAAACTCAAATCGAGTGCAAAGTGCAAAGTGCACTTTCTCTACACGTTGGCCTCCAACCTACAAAATTCAAACTCAAAAGTACACGTGAAAAAATATCCGTGGGAGAGACAGTGCAACCGGTCATCATTTACCCATGGTCGCCATGGTGACGGCCGACGAAGCCGCGCCCAAGAAGCGGCGCATGACCATCAAGCTCCCGATCAAGCCGTCGCAGGACCCGCGGCTCGACCACATCAAGTCGAAGCGGGCAAAGGCCCTCGAGGGCCTACGCCGCTACACGTACGAGCTCCAGGAGCAAGTGACGAAGCTCAAGCGCGGCCACGTCGCGATGCTGCCCTGGGAAGACGTCGCGCTTGCGCTAAAGGAAGACACGCTCGAGAAGGTCCGCGACAACCGCGCGCTCAAGCAAGAGATGGAGCACCGCAAGCGCCTCTGCCGCTTTTTGCACGAGTGCTTGGCCCGCGCCAGCCCGCTCGACGTACGACCCTCTTTGCAAATCGGCCGAGGGCCGACGAAGACATATATATATATATAGGTGGTGCCAAGCCTCGCCGAGGAGACGTGGCGGCACTCGCAGCTCCTCTCGGGCGCCTCGCGCACCCTCGGCTGCGAATGGATCCTCAACCAGCTCTACTTCAACACGGAGCGCGCTATGGCCCACGTGCATTTCCCCGACGACCCGATTCAGCAGCTCGACTGCATTGACGTCAACATCAGCATCACGAACGAGAGTCTCATTCGCGCCGAAGTCATGTCCCAAGAGTACCTTCCGTACTCGCTCGAGCATGTCTCGGAGGCGTACCGCCTCGCGGCCGAGAGCTTTAGCAAGGCGTATTTGCGCAAAGTTGCTGGGTATCTCGATAGCACCCAGCCGACATTGTCGGCCGACAACTTTCATTACGAGTCGATCGTTCAGCGCCTGCACAGCTGCACGCTGAGCTACAACACGCTGAGCCGCTTCTTCGCCGCCGGTGACCGGTACGTTCTGGCACTGCGCACGATCCTCAAGGACGAAGCTCACCCCGTGTCGAGCGCAACGTGGGTCATGAACACCAAGCAATGGTCGGAACGACGACATTAGCTCACTCAAGCGGCTATTGATCGTGACGTAGGGTTGTCATTGACCGGCTCGGGCCGCAGCTGACGCGGTGCCGGACGTTCTACACGATTGACCACCCGTTCTCGGACGACACGGGGTACGTCCCGGTGTCCGACTTGGCGCGGCACCGCGGTTTGCCCTACGATGACGATGACGCGACCAACCTGCAGCGCCTACGCGTGTCCTTCCACGAGACGCACCACCTTCAGCGCAGCTTTTTCCAAATGCACGCGCGCTGCGTGGCCGACACACTAGCAGCCCGACGCCCACCGGCCGAAGGCTTTGACGAGTGGTCGGCCTTGATGGGTGACGCCATGTAGCGAGACCTCGTTCAAGGCTTAAGTTATTTGAATTCTACCGTGTGATGCTACATGTCCTCTTGCGTCGTTCCGGCCGACTATCGAGACTTGTTGTTTCGAGTTGGATTTGGCCCACAGCTGTGCACCTGGACCTGGACGCCTACTATGGCCCGTATCGTGAGAGCCTGCCGACATCTTCATCTGCCATTTGTGCAGCTTGTGACCTTGGCTGGTGTCTCGGACGACCCAATCTGTCTTTCGCTGCTGGACTCGAACGCGCGTCAGCACCTACAAGCCGCTTTCATTGCGCGTCGGGAACCTTGTAGTGTCGACAAGGTCATTCACATACTACCGGTACCCGATGGCGAAGGAAACAACGACAAGTGACTGACGCTGCAGCTCCTCAAAAGCTGCCGCTTGCTGAAAACGTACGTTTTTAAACCAAAGTCACTTGCACCACGCATCCTCTCGTACGTCGCTAGCTCCGAGTCGTACTTTCCCGACTTGTATGTACTCGCCCCCGCGATTGCATTCGCTGTGCATCACGAACCACACGTCAAACTCGGTGCCTTCAGCGTCGTCGCAGCGCGCGTCTACAGAGACGATGACCATCGACTGTCGCCCGTGGCCGGCTCGTTTCTGCTGTGCTTGCAACAAATGCATTCAGCATGGAGCTGCAGGCCAAGCGACAACGTACGATGTGGTCTTCTTAGATCTTGGGTGCTGTGCTCAACTTTCTTTAACTTTGACAATGGAACTCCAAGTTGATACGATTCTGTGACGTGGCGCAACGAGTGACGACCGAGTCGGTCATGCCTACCAACACCTTTCGCAGCACGAACCCCTGTGCATGTATCCTTTCTAGATGAAGGGCACGTGCGAGTGTCGCTCCACCCCGCGCCCTATCGTTTCGAGAGGAGGTGATGCACGCGCAGTTTGGATTTGGCCCAAAGCAGTGTATTTTTTGAAAAATCCTGTTGCGATCTCAATCGGTCTCGAGCACGGCATGCTCTGAGCCTGCTGTGGTCTAGGCCCTGACCCAAGATGGCGGCTTTGTATCGTGGTTTGGCATGTCATTGCAGCAGTAACCGTACCGCTTCATCCGAACGGTATACCAGAACTCGAGACAACATGAGAAAATACCGTCAGAGGTTCGTCAAGGCATTTGGCTGAGCTTTTGGTTGCTACCACCATTCTTAGCGACAAATGCTGCACAGGGGACACTCATCGTCTCTCGCCCATCGCCGAGACCTCGTCGTATGGATGTAGAACGCAACTCCACACGTTCGTTCGCCAACTCGAAGACCTCGACTCTTCGTTGGGTTTTTTGGCCGTTGGATCCCTTCACCAGTGGATCCGAGTGGTTTTCACCAGCCCTCGTGGCGGTTTCCACTCACGAGGATGGTTCTTTTTCCTTTCTTCACTGGAAGGTTTTTACCACTCGACCTCACTATACCAGTCTCCGTAATATCAATATATTCCGGAGCAGGTCGTGAGCAGCCTTCGTGGCCTCACTTCCACTTCCTGCCTCTCGGACACACTCCTCATCGGGTGTGCGGTTCTGGTTCTTCCTCTTTCTCTCTGCCGAGTGCTTCACTAGCCCAGCTGCTAGTTTGTTAGTATGGATGTAGAAAAAGGGTTCGGTGATTGCTCGCAGGAAGCTTGCTCCGGGCCATGTCGCCCACCTCTTCAAATCCCTTCCTATCACCGTATCATCAGTCCCATCCTCTATAAACTACCCCTTCGCAGACACCATGCAAGTGCGCATCGACACCTTCTTTGGTCGCTTGTTGGGTGGAGCTTGCTGCCAGGCGAGCCAGCACACGCCTCGCCGCTCATCGCTGCAAAGCTACTAAACAGTCAGCTAGTGATACCTCCATGCAGAAGCGTCCGAATGCTAGTTCACAAAGCTCAAGCTTTGAGCCACTGATTGCGTTGTAGCGTTCTCGCTTCAGTACCACTTGGACGCTTCCAGGTCGGGCATGGCAAGCACTGCAGCGTCTACCGACGGACTTTCGTACACGAAGAAAGCCGCGCATCGATAGATAGGTCGAGTCAGCCGTTAAACCGTTCGAATCGGGACGTGACAAGGTACAAGCAACGCGCGAGCAATCACCTCCGTTCGATATCCGCGCGTGTGCGACGACAACGTTCCACCCCGTGTAGAGGCAACTTGCTTTAAGCCATACAATTCGTATACACACGGAGAATGAAAGGGGGCCACGGATGCGCTGACGGCCACGTGCTGCCGTTTCTCGCTTTGAATGGCCACGTGGGGGGCGCCAAGTTGAAGTCACGGGCTTACCACTGGGTCATGAGTCATCTACGGTAAGCTTACAGTATACAAATCTTCTGCCACGTCATGGGCCGCGGAGCAATCAACCGGCCCCTTGCCGGCTCCGACCGTGCGACTGATCGCGCCGAGCTACTCGACGCCTTGTCCGACCACGTTGTGCGACTCTACGCAGGCGTTCATTCCCCCACGACCACGCGCAGTTGAGCGTGTAGCGTCATTCTCGGTGCCGGCAGACCTCGATTCGGTGTCAAGTGACACCAGCTGCCAGTCCCAGCGTCAACATCGTCACAAACTGTGGGATGTTGGCGGCCATGCAGCTTCCGTTCGGGAACCGGGTCAAAAACACACGAAATTTGCGTAATTTACGGTACTTTGCGGGATTTCGTGGGCGGCTACGATTGACGGCAAACCAGCAGCTTCCATAGAGAGGCCTTCGCCGTGGATGCCATGAGTGTCTTTTTCACCTTGTGTGGTGTCGACGCATCCGTGGTCGCATTGTATGAGGATGTTGATGTTTGGTAAGATGTACGACGAATCCTATATGACTCGCTACGGGTCGTGTTGAAACTCAAATGGGTTGCTTCAAGGCGTGCTGTGTCGCAGCTCAGACGCCAAGGACGCGGAAGAATGCACCTGGTACGAACCGCACGGGTCGATCGTCTTTTCTGCCATTGCTCTCGTGCAGTAAGAGACGTCGTGTTCCAACCACCGCGCGTCCGGTATACCTCGTGTATCCAACACCGTGAAATTGGTGAAAATACCGTAATTTTCATGCATCGGCCGCCTTTCAAACACCAGATTTGACCAACCGCCACATGGTTCTGCACCATCGGCATGTACTTTTCGTAATGTGTATCCATCATTCCTCGATTTGCAGCCCCGTCCGACGTTAATAGATGATGAAGTTTGTGCAAAGGCCCCACCCACCGATGCTCGCTTCACTCAAACCGTCCGACCTTGACGTACACCCATCGTGGCTCCCGAGCCTAGCGCACATCAAATCGAAGCGCGTCAAGGAACTCGAGTGTCTCCGCCGCCAAGTGTACATTCTCCAAGGGCACATTGAGAAGCTCAAGCGCTGCCACTCGACGCAGCTGTCGTGGGAGGATGTGGCTCAAGCGCTCAAGGACGACACGCTCGACCAAGTGCGCGACAACCGGTCGCTCAAGAAGAAGCTTGCGCACAACAAGCGTCTCGGCGTCTTCCTCAAGACGTGGATGGAGGCGACCCCGCCGCCGGCGCTGCAGGTAGGCCTCCATACTCGCACACGCTTGAGATTGCACTGGCGTAGCATATCGAGACGTGGCGCCACTCGCAGCTCGTGTGTGGTGACGACGCGTCGCGGGCGCTCGGGTACGAGTGGATAGCGCGCCAGTCGTACTACAACACGACCGCGGTTATGGCCCACATTGCATTTCCGGTCCACGAGACGGACGACGACTTTGTGCGTGTGGCTGTCGACATTGACGACGACGCCCGGTTTTTCGTCCAAGTAGCAGCGCAGCAGGTCGTGCCGTACGACCTCGCGGCGGTCCACAATGCATTTTGGGTCGCGGAAAAGACATTTGCAGCCGCGTTCCGGGACAGATGCACGCAGCTCACCGACCTCTCGGCGCCGACCAACGACATTTTGTACGTGCGCGAGAACCTCGGCACGCCAACACAGCGTATCTTCAACAAGTCGCTCCAAGCGCGCTTCCAGTCGCCGGCATCTGTCACGTTTGTACTCCGCTCGATTCTGAGAGACGACATGTTCCCGGACGACGACGCCGACGACACCGATCCGTGGTCGTTCAACACCAAGTTTTGGATGGTCGCGGACGCGCTTCCGAATGGCAGCACGCGCTGTCGGACGTTCTACACGCTCGAGCATCCGTGCACGCACAGCGGCGGGTACGTCTCGCTTGACCAACTCGCGCGCTGCGTCGGCCTCGGCGGCTCGACCGAGGCAACGCTCCTGGCCGTGCTCAAAGAACGCTTCCTCAACAGCCACCACGCCCAGCGCTTGTTCTTTGCCGAGCATTTCAGCACGGTCTTGGGCGCAATGGCGACTAGAATGGACGACGACGACGCTGTTGTGCAAGTGTAATTGCCACCGAATACGGTACAAACGACTATTTAAGACGACGAAAATACGACAGGGCGATGATGCAACCACGTCACAGACTTGTGTGTGGGCTCACAAGCTGACGATGTGTACCGGTGCACATACACCGGTGTACACGACGCCATTAGGGTGATCGCGAGGAAGCCATTTCTTTGTCAACTTTCCATTCCCAGACTGTTCCGTGGGTCGAGAAGAGGTAGCCGAACCAGGTTTCTTGGATATCAGCTTCAAGAGAACAGCCTTGATCGTACACGTCCCATGCACCAGCCTGCTTCAAGCAGCGGACTGCAAAGCAGACGATGGTGATACTTCCCCCTTATTTTGTCGTCTCTTCTCGACTTGCTACCTTTCGCATCGCCGTGGCGATCCCAGGTCCGCATCAACATAGCCACGCACCATACTGAGTAGCGAGCGACGTCGCTACCGACTTCATTGTGGGCGGTGTCAACGGATATACCTCCATCGGGACACTGGCACAACCTTGCGAGGCAGCCAAAGCCTACCACTGCGATTTGATAGAAACCGAGAGAACTCACGAGTCGCTGACGCCCTCATATGTGGGAGCATAGTGACAAGGCCTGTCGAGACACTGCGTGCATGGCTCGCCGCCGACCGCGGATACAGTTTGCCCCACGCGGAGCTTCAACGGTTCAAGGATGCCCTTTCTAGTCGCGCGACGAGCTACATCACGTCATCCAAGTGCAATGTCGCACTATCCACGAATCACATCGCTTACCGTTGTCGTGGCGACGGTGCACTTTGAGTCTGGCCTTTCTCTTATTTTGTTTTAGTATGCCATACACATATCAAGCTCAGCGTATCTTTTGTATTGGCCAATCAAAATGCGGGCGACCAAAGTTTGCAGCACGTCCTGGTACAAAGTGGCTGGTCGTCGCGCGTTCGGCCACATTGCCCTTTCTAAAAGGGTGCCATTGCACTTGAACTCAGTATGTAATCGCGTCGGTCCCTCGCGTTGGCCAAACCTATTTGTTCCAGTCGTTCGCGGTCCGGTTAAAACGGCGACGATTGGCCAATTGCCATTGTATCTTGAGCGCAGCAAGCCACCAACGCATCAGCAGTATGGGTGCCCAGAGCCGTCACGTTTTCCAAGTCGCCGTGCTTGGCTGCCTCGTCGCCGCGGCGCTCGTGCTCATGAAGCAGCGCAAGTCGACGACCGCCAAGCCGCCCAAGGCCCCGCGCAAGCCGTCGACGGCGCGCGCCCAGTCGGACATTACGGACACCCAAATGGTGTACACGGAACCGGAGCACATCAAGATCCCGCGCCGTGGGTCGGTCGGGCCCAACGACATCCTTGTCATTGGTGTTTGCGGTGGCACGGGCTCGGGCAAGACGACGCTGTCGCGCGCGATCATGGAAGAGATTGGTGAGGCCAACGTCTCGTATTTATCCCACGACTACTACTACCGTGACATCTCGAACCGGACCCTCGAACAGCGTGCGCAGGTAGAGCATCCACCACTGTTCCAAGATGCTTATTTCTATGGTGGTAGCACAACTTTGACCACCCGGATTCGCTCGAAACCTCGCTCTTGGTGCGCCACTTGGAAGCGCTCCGCGACGGCGTCACGGTGGAGGTGCCCATGTACGACTTTGCGACGCACTCGCGCTGCGCCGACACGCAGACGATGGTGCCCCGCCGCGTGATCCTCGTTGAGGGCATCCTCCTCTTTACGGACCCGGACCTTGTCGCGCTCATGGACATCAAGGTGTTTGTCGAGACGCCGTCCGACATTCGGTTCATTCGCCGCCTCCGACGAGACATTGCCGAGCGCGGGCGCACGGCCGAGAGCGTCATCGACCAGTACCTCAAGACCGTGCGGCCGATGCACCTCACGTTCGTTGAGCCCTCCAAGCGCGTCGCCGACATCATCGTGCCTGTCGGTGTCAACGCTGTCGCCCTCGACCTCATTATCTCCCGCCTCCGCTCGTACTGCCCGGAATAGGTCGCAGTAGTAGCGTCGTCACTAGGTTCATCATAGCTCACCGCAATTCACACTCCACTCACCTCGTCCCTGTCGTCGCCGTTCGTTAGCGCACCGAGTGGACTCTTGACCGAATCGGCTCCAAGTACCGGTACATAGGTTTCGCGATCGACCACCTCGTGCAGCTCTGACAACGCACAACTGGGGCTTGGAGTGCAGCGCCGATCGGTGGGCAACGTAACCTGCTTCGTTGCTCGACCCAACTACACTGAGCACGCACTTGCCTTGCGTACCAGCAAGACACCAGTGCCGTGGTACGACACGCTGCCGATGACACGCCAGCCCCATCTAGCCATTGAGGCCAGTGTCGAGCCCCGCCCGAGGGATCGTCAGATGGCTGCGTGGATGAGCTTGAAGTCATGCGCCCACCGCCGGGTCTCCTCTTCCACCACCGATCGACTGGTACGTAATAGGTCGTAATACGTCAAGGTACAAAGTTGTCATTCAAAAAAGTGCAAAATCATCTATCAAAAAAGGACATTTCGAGTTTAGGGCAGCGCCGCTTGCTTCTTCTTGTCGCGGAGGAGGTTGGTGAGGAAGAACTCGCCGGCCTTGTAACTCGACCGGACCATCGGGCCACTCGCCACGTAGAGGAAGCCCATGGACTCGCCGACCTTTTGCCATTCTTCAAACGCTTCCGGGCTAATGTACTCGGCGACCGGCATGTGGCGCGTGGACGGGCGGAGGTACTGGCCAAACGTGACGACGTCGACGCCCGACGACCGCAGGTCCTTGAGCGTCTGCAGCACTTCAGCAGGCTTCTCGCCAACGCCGAGCATGATGGACGTCTTGGTCACGAGCGTCGGCTTGACCTTCTTGGCGGCTTCGAGCACCGCCAGCGACTGGCGGTAGTTGGCGCGGTGGTCCCGCACGCGGCGCTGCATGCGCTCGACCGTCTCTACGTTGTGCGCAAACACGTCGAGGCCCGAGAGCGCGACTTGCTCGATGAGGTCGACGCGGCCCGAGAAGTCGGGCGTCAAGCACTCGATGAGGATCTCGGGCAGGCGCTCGCGGAGCAAGCTCACCTATGTATCTCGTGAGCGACCCGCGCCTATGGCAGATGCATCGCCGTACCGTCGAGGCAAAGTGCTGCGCGCCAGCATCCGGGAGATCGTCGCGGTCGACGCTTGTAAAGACAACGTAGTCGAGGCCCCAGGACGCGATCGCACGCGAGACCTTGTCGGGCTCCTCAAGGTCGAGCGCTGGCGGGCGCTTGCTGGTCTTGATGGCGCAGAAACTGCAGCCGCGCGTGCACGTGTCGCCCATGAGCATGATCGTGGCGGTCGCGGTCCCGTTCTTGCCGCCGCCCCAGCACTCGCCAATGTTCGGGCAGCGCGCTTCCTCGCAGACAGTCGCGAGGCCGAGCGACCGAACCGTGTCACGCAGGCGAAGGTAGTTGTCGCCGGACGTCGGCTGCGCCTTGAGCCAGCTCGGCTTGCGGTTGCTCGCGTTGGGCTTGCGCGACGGCTTGACCGACTCGGGCGAGGCCATGAGCGAGTCGAGGTCCTCGGCCTTGATGACATTGTCACCCCAGGTCGCGTCGAGCTTGTTCTTCTTGGCCTCGTTGAGCGCAATGGCTTCTTCAGCGAGCTGCTCGCGGAGCGCGACGAGGCGCGACGACCGCTTCGCCGCGGCTGTCGACAGCGTGCGTGCAAGGCCCGGCAGCATCGTCTTGAGGTCAACTACGGTCGAAGCCGGAAAGCTGCAATGGCCAATCGGTTGGCCTGGCTCCGAGTCGGATTGGGATTTTTTATACCTCTTTAAATACGTACTTTTTTCTCACACTTGGATAAAGTAGGTGCGCCTATTGTATTGATGGGGCGCGGTCATTTAATTCGACTGTGATGCGAAGCGAAGTCCACGCGGAGCTGCGGGACGACGAGCATGGCGGCGCGGGCGCGGGCGACCATCTGGGCCGGCCCAGCGGCCACGGCCATCGCCGTGCAAGGCGTGCGCTGTACCATGCTTGGCACCGCCCATGCCCTGTCTTTGATCCAACGCCACAAAGGCGTCGCAATGACACCCGATAACCACGACTCAGCGATACGTGTCATGGGCCACTTGAACCAAGGTGCAACCTGCTGCCACGCGATCGCCATCAATCACGCTGGTCGCTGCAACCACCGTTCACATGCTCATGGCGTCACCAAGCCCGCGCTGGTATCGCCACGACCTCGTCCATCTGCATGTGTAGTTGGTAGCGCAGCCGCAGCCTCATGGATTACTCGACACCCGTGGGTCGCATTCGCTCCGCCAGCCTCTCGTGACAGCGCGGTGTGCCCTGTTGCTGGTCCTACCTAGCGCCAGCATCTCGTCGGCGAGGCCATCGTTGTCGGCGGCGGCAGTGGCGGCGGCGGCGCTGGGCCATGCCCGGAAGCAGCCTTCCTTCGCCACGCATCGGTGGACTTCATCGCTTCACATAGAAATGGGCTTCGGCCTATAAAATTAGAGAGGTGCTGCAACGCCGTAAACTGACTGCGTCCGAAGTGAAGGGCTAGGGAAAGCGTGGCCGGTCGTTGCGACCTCTGTCTTTGAATACCTCTCACAATGCATACTCAGCGGGGCCGGGGCCCTGGGCCGGCGCACCTCTAAGAACGCATAGCCCGAGTGGAAAAATAATCAAGTTTGAGAGACTTGACGCGAACGGGAAGGCTGGTTGAGTGGTGTTGAGGCTCGCGGCAAATTTATTCTGGAAAAAGGCAGGATGTTCCAACGTGTTGCTCAGTCCGTGCGCGCCCACGGGGCCAAGGCCGCGGCCGGCGCCGGCGCGTCGCTCGTCGCCGCCAGCGTCATGACCGGCGTCACCTCGTTCAGCGACGACTGCATCCCGTCGCCGCACTATGGCTTTGAGCACCAGGGCCCGCTGACGTCGTTCGACTACGCCAGCGTCCGCCGTGGGTACCAGGTGTACAAGGAGGTCTGCTCGACGTGCCACTCGCTCGATAAGATCCACTTCCGCCACCTTGTCGGCGTGACCCACACCGAAGACCACGCGAAGAAGCTCGCGGCCGACATTGAGGTCGTCGATGGCCCGAACGACGAAGGCGAGATGTTTGACCGCCCGGGCAAGCTCTCGGACCCGTTCCCGAAGCCGTATGCCAACGACGAGGCCGCCGCCGCCGCCAACAACGGCGCCGTGCCGCCGGATCTTTCGCTCATGGTCAAGGCCCGCCACGCCGGTGCCGACTACATTTTCTCGCTCATGACGGGCTACGTGCCGGCGCCGGAAGGCAACGATGTGGGCGCGGGTCTCCACTACAACCCGTACTTCTCGGGTGGCATGATTGCCATGGCCCAGCCGTTGAACGACGGCCAGGTCGAGTACGAAGACGGCACGCCGGCCACGGTCTCGCAGATGGCCAAGGACGTCGCGTGCTTCCTCTCGTGGGCCGCCGAGCCCGAGCACGACGAACGCAAGAAGATGGGCATGCAGTGGTGCTTTGGCCTCTTTGTCACTGCCCTCTTCACGGGCTACTATAAGCGCATGCGATGGGCCCCGTTGAAGACCCGTAAGATTACTTACTTCAAGTAATTTCGTAGAAAAAGCCTAGAGCAGCAGCAAGAAGAAATCATGTTTACACCTACTTGATCGAGCTCGTCGCTCGCCCTCGTCTCCTGCGTCGCTAGCATGTATGTTGGACCAATAGACCCCAATGATCTTATTCCGTTGCTGTTGTGCTATTTGCTTCGCGGTCGTCGCAGGAGGATGACACGCCGTCATCGACGCCTCGCTGCTGGCACAACCATCCGCGCGGATCAGCAGCTCACCAGCAGCTCCGACATCGTGGTCAACTGACCCATCATGCCCTTGGGTGTCATCATTGCAGCCTCGTAGCTTGTCGACCCTGGCCTCGATTTGCGTGTATGATCGATCATTTGCGGCCTTTCTTCAGAGGCAGCGACGAGTAGAGCTTGCAGCCGAGCTGATCGGCGCGGCGGATTGCCTTGCATTGAGATGATACGTGGTCGTTGACCAAGGCGATAGTCCAACAACTAGTAGACAATATTTCATGAGACGGAAAGGACTATATTAGTTGGTGCTATCGGGACGGAGGCTCTCGACGATGCACGCGCGCAGCATCGTGCTCAGGACGCCGGCGCAGCCGTCGGAGCAGAGCTCGATGGCTTCCTGCACCTTGGGGTATGTCATGCCACCCTTCTGCATGACGTGCGTGATCTGGCCGCGGGCCGGCATGAACGCCACCATGACGTGGCCGCCCGTCTCTTTCGTCGTCGGGTCGAGGAGGACGGTCGCGTCGGCCGTGTGGCCCGCGCTGCAAGCCGTGACGACGTCGATCATCTCGACGCCAGCGTCGACCAGCGCCAAGCTTGCGCACGTGATGGCAGCACCGAGATCGCCGCCGTCGCTTTCGAGCACGACCGCATGGACACTGATCTGGCACTTGGGCAGCTTCTCGAGGAGGAGCGACGGCGCGAGCGCTTGGCGCATGAGGTTACCGTACTCGAGCTCGAGGTCGTTCATGGACGCATCAAGCACTGTCGTGCTCGACGGAAGCTTGATGTCGCACACCAACGGCTGGCCGCGCTGCTTGATGGCCACTTCGGCGCGCGGGCCGTACACGGCGCAGACGACGCGCGTCCGGCCAAACTCGACGTACGCCGAGCCCGCTGCCTTGCTGAGCACGCCGCAGCGCATGAAGCAGGCGCGGAACTCGTCGTTGCCGCGGCCATCGGGGCGCGAGTAGTGGCCCTTGGCCACGGCCACGGCCGCCGGGTCCACGGGCTTGAGCGTCGGGAAGTAGCAGTTCTGCATGCGAGCGCTGGAATTGAATGGAAGCGCCCCCAAGCGAATCCAATGCCGAATTTAGTCCGAAGCCGTACATGCAATGTACGGCTCGTACAACAAGCCGTACATTGTCGGTGCTGGAAGATCGCCCAAGTTGATGCGCAGCAGTGATTATTGTCCTGTACAAAACATACTACGAGGGCTAGTAGAGATCACGAGTCATGGCATGTACTAGGTACTATATGTAGTTAGGATGCAAGACTTTTCGTAGCCGATCAATTAAATTCAACTGCACGGAAAACAACACAACTTCTGAACGACTAACCGCTTCAAGGATCGAGTTGCTACAGTACTGTAGTTTCGCACGCTGCTTGGCTTGTAGCGGCTCGTAGCGACCTCGATGTAGATAGTCTATAGCTCAAATCACTCCTGCTTGTCACGAGTACTCGGCAGGGTCATGTCAACGTACTCTACTACCGGTATAAGAACTTATGATGCACCGGTCAAGCTGTCATGCGCGATGGCGCGCCATGCCACCGTCGAATATGGCAGCACGGGACGACGACGATGGCGCTCAGTGGTCCCGTACAACGATCGAATCATGGGTGGAACCGGGGTCTAGTACTTTGTATTCCATACACGGGCTGCTATTTAGTCGTCTTCTAGGTCGATGCCAGGCACCAACTCGGTTGTGTCTGCGCTCAGGCGGTTGATCTCGTCCAAGAGCATTTCCATGATTTCGTTCTTGTCTTCCATCTTGATGCGGCCGTTGTTCATGAGCGACTGCTTCATGATCGTGAGCGCGTTGTAGTCCGGGTGGTCGGCCGGGATCTCGACGGCAATCTCAGGCAGCTTGACGTCCCAGATCGAGGTGTAGCCCATGCGCTTGAAGGCCTCAGCGTTCACAATCGCGCGCTTCTCGTCGTCAAACGGCGTCGCCGGGATCTGGATCAAGTCCATGAAAAGGTCCGTACCGGACGTGAGCGGCCAGCTCTTATCGGCCATGATGAGCTCGTTCTCGACGCGGCCCTTGAGCGGCGTGTAGTCGCTCTCGGGCTCGTTCTTGTTGTCCATGACCGACTCGTACTTGCCGTACTCCGCATCAAGCTCCTTGTCGCTGAAGAAGAGGCGTTCCGACTCCTCGGCGTCCGTGGGCACCGTCGGCTTCAAGGGCGCCTTCTCCATGGCCTGCTGGAAGAGGCGCTGCTTGGCCTTGCCACGCTTGCCGCTGGTCGCGTCGTCCGAGAAGGACGCCACGGCGGACTTGGCGACGGAGCGCGCTTGGCGCGGCTGGCGAAGGACGCGGAGCATCATCTCTCGGTACAAATGGTGGTCTGCTGCGTTCTGCCCTCCACCACTTATAACGTGCGGAAGTATCCGGACGAATCGTGCCAATCACAGCATGCGAATGTACTTTTATTTTCATTTTCATACAAATCATTTCGAACATTGAATTAAAATACATTGTCGTGCCAAGGCGCAGGGATCCGGATATGATCCTAGTCGACACGCAACTACCACAAACGACTATACGGTTTGGGAACCGACTAAAGTGGGTAAAACAGAGGTTAATCCCAACCTGCTGGCTTGACGTCAACCTGCGACTTGGCACTCGTCGACGACAGTTCGCCATCCAATTTTCAATTTTCTTGAATTCATCGACCAGGGGCATACTGAACCTTCAAGAAGCTTGCCCGGCCGCCAATCAATTCTCGACTAATACCTGTCGTCGATCCCGGTGGAGCCATGGATACATGGCAACTGCGCCTGCTGTAGGCGGCGGCTGCTTGCGAAGCGTGGCCGCCCCACGTTTCGCGGTCAAGTGCAATGCTACTCGACAGGCATTGGCGGCGAAGAAGCCTGTAACGCGACACCACATGGACCGGCGATCCTGGGGCGAGGGCGAGAAGCAAGTTGACATTGCGGTACTCGAGAGGATGGCGGGACGCTGTTAGCGTCGATCTTGTACGAGGCGGTCGTGCCAGGGCCAGCCCCGCGATAGCGACTAGAAGGGTGCGTTGGACCACGGCCGTCAAGTAGGTAGATTTCGCGCACTTTTGGGACATACTGGGAGAAACCCAGTGGTGGCAGTAATACCCACAGTACTGTGTAAACTGACTGTCAGATCCGAAAAAGATTGGAAGCGATGGAAGGCTACCTCCGGTTCCGCGGCAAGTGCAAGGAGTGGCAGGCTGCGCATGACAAGGTCATTCGGCTCGTCACGGCCTTCCAGAGCCAGATCGGCAAGACGAAGGAGGTCGAGGAGCCGCCGACGGTCGAGGACGAGGGCATGGAGCTGCTGGGCCTGCATGGGTACGGCGGCAACCGATCGATCGACGGGTACCTCGCGGAAGGGACGCTCGCCGCGCTCAAGGCGTACCCGCGCAACGTGCAAGACCTCCTTCTCGACATGTACGACATCCTCGAGGAAACGCAGAAGCGCATCATGGCCATGTCGACGTCGGAAGCGGTCGATACCGGTCCGTCGGGCATGCAGGTCTCGGCGATGCAATACTTGCGCTTCATCAAGATTGAGCTCGACATGTACGAGTCCGAGTACCAGCAGATTGTACGTCCTCTCGCCTCCGCTGCTCGCGTTGCGATGCGTATGTAGGCCATCACGATGGCGTCGATGGAGTTTGCGACAGCGACAGGCGCCATGAACGCGTTCATGACGTCGCTCTCGACGCAGCCCTTCATCAACATTGACACGATCCTCGCCATCACCGAGGTACGACAGCTTCATCATGCATCATGCAACTGCTCATGCGCCGGTAGCAACACAACTTTTCGTACCAACTTCTAAAGGCCGAGCCCAAGGACGAATGGGTCTAAAGCACCGCCCTATTTATGAAGACTACCTCCATCATCATCATCATCCTCATCATCATTTCCTAAGCCATTTCAATCAATTTTGGGCTGTCCGTCCTCATCTTCGTCATCATGTGGCCATCATCTTTGGCGCACCAGGTTTCTTCATGGACCTCGCTTGGGTCTTCCGCGCAGCCGAGCCGCATGAGCACCGGAACGCATGCAAGAGGCTTCGAGAGCCTGTGCCATGATGATGCGCTCCTCGCAGGACACATGAAGGGTGCGACACGAGTCAGCATTACGCCTTCGTCGCGCGTCTACTGCACACCTCGAAGCTGTCGGGTACGGCGAGGAGCCAGTGAGCGTAGTAGCGCCCGTCCAACCAGCGCTAGTGTACCCAGTAGTATGATCCTCACTTTGTCGTCTTAGTAGAAATGGGCTGGCGCTGAAATTGAACGAGCCAAAAGAAACTAACTAAAGACTTCACAGACAGTGCGGGAGTTGGCGTAGAAGCGTGTGCTGCGCTGCATGCATCTTCAACATCCCCGCCACGTGCTCGGTAAACGCTTAGTAGACTTATGTAGTACGCAAAACAAGAGGAGAAGGATCGAGCCTGCACGTCGAGCGCTCATGGCTTGGGCAAGGTCGACTTGACAATGTCCATGAGCAGCTGAAACTCATCACGGCGCTGCGCGCGCTCCTCGGCGTCGCGCTGGTCCCGGCGCTGGGCCTCTTGCGCGCGGAACGCCATCTCTTGGTCGAACCGCCGCTGCTCAAACTCGAGCTTCTGACGCTTGAACTTGCGTTCTTCCTTCGCATCGTCGAGGTGCTGCGCCGACATGCGGAGCTGGCCATCCAAGAGGCGGAGAAACACGCTTACGTCCGCGGTCGAGACGGCAATGGCGGATGTTGCGCTGTGCAGCGGCGAGGCCTGCGTTGGCGGCGTGGCCACGGGCGCAGGCGTCTCCAGCGACGCGTCGACTTGCAGTAGCAGGTCCACGCTCGGCACCCGGTCGACTCGCCCTTTGCCTTTGAACTTGACGTCGTCGACGCGGTGGCGGATCGCCGTGAGCACGCGCGTGCTGTCTTCAATCATCTGCGCCGACGGCGGGTCCTTGAAGCGGAAGCCCGACTGCATGAGGATGCCATACCGGTCCTTGCACGCGCGGGCCGAGAACTGCTTGCCGACGTAGGCGCAGAGCGTCGTCCGGATCTGCTCCCACTTCTCGGCGACGCTGCCATGCACCGCGTTGTACGGCTCGTGCTTGAGCACGAGCCGGAGGAGCTCCATGTCCTCCTCATAGTTGAATTTGAACCGTTTTTTGACTTCTTCGACCCCTTCTTTCGCCCCGGACGCCATGGCTGCCAACCGTCAAATTGCCGAATTCACCGTAATTTCCCTTCCTCTGAAAAAGGCACCTTCTTTTGTCATACGAGTGTCTCATCGCCACCCTTTTATGGTGACATGGCCAGCGCGTTTCAAGGGTTCTGAAAACACACAACAAACTTCACACTTGATTTGGGGACGAGCGACGCCATGCAAGCAGACCAAACCGAACGACGATACAACACAGCCGTAGTAGAACTTGAGATGCCGAATGGATCATTCACACTGCTACATTAAAATGGTACGGCCGAAATACAACGGGATGGCTGTTCGTTGGACTCGTAAGTGGCGTGCTTTTAGTGTACTGGCAACACGGGTAGCCGGACTGGATCTGAGGCTTCACAACACCCCTTTTTGTCTTATAGACCTGGATTTGGCACCATTACCGTAATTATACTGTGAGGGCCAAAGCAACGATGGACGAAGCCGAGTTTAGCCGCTTGCTGGGGCAGTTCCCTGTCGTCCGCCAGAGCACCTACTGCCGCGTGGCGTGGAAGCCCGACGTAGGTCGCTCGTCGCTCTGCATGGCGCTCATGCTGCTATAGGCCACGCCACGCTCGACGATCACACAAGAAGAGACCGATGGTACGACCCGACTCGTTGAATAGGTTGGCTTAGCCTCGCCTTCGCATATCTTAGCGCCGTCCAAGAAGATGAAGACCGACGTGAGCCTCTCGGCGGCCATCGAGACGTACATGCAAGAGTACTTTACGCCCGCCGAGGCCACGCGGATCCGCGTTGCGTTCGAGAAGGCGCATGCCGACCTGGTCGACCAGCTCTGCCTCGAAGACGTCGAGGACATGTGCCACCAGTTCCAATAAGCGCCGTCAAGATATGCATGCCACGTACCATCTCTTCTTGGTCGCATCTTGTCGAAACGGTTATCATGCAACGACACGTCGCGCTGGGCCTGCTCCTACCGACGCTCGCGCTGGCGCAGACGCCATCGTCGTCGACGCCGCTCATCTTGGGCGTCGGTCCTGGTCTCTTTGGGCTTGTCCTTGTCGTTCTCTTCTGCGTCCTTCTCTGCCTCTGTGGGTACTCGTCAGCGCATCGCTGGTACGTCGTCGGCCTCGAGTGGACTCGACGACCCACATGACAATGTAGCGGTCTCTTCTTCCTGATTGCCTCCATCCTCATTTCAACCGTCGTCTTCTTCCTCACCGTCAAGGTCACGGCGCCAGGACAAGCCAGTGTCCACCGCCAGGTCTTTGACTGAACTCGAGACTAACTAACTAACTATGTGCAGGAGTACAGCAACAAGGGCGTGACGAGGGCGGTTGTGCGCGCCGTCTTGATCGCGTTTGCAGTTCTCGCGCTCATCTCGATCGTACTGACGCACGTGATCTCGCCACGTCACGTACTCTACTGCCGCTGGAGGTACCATGGCGAGCTCAAATGTACGAGGTAGGCGCGACGCCTTGGCGAGTGGCTTCCGCAGCGCGCTCGGGCCCGTCAGTTCTGAGAGCAACCTCTGTTCGGACCGCAACCTCAGATCTGATTGCAGTCTGCATCTCAGTTCTGGTTCCGTTTTGGTAGAGACTTGAGATTTGATAGCAATCGCGCTGTGAGAATGCGACACGTTCTAGCTTGTGGCGCTTCCTGGCTTGAGTGTCCCGTAGCAGGTGTGCGAGCAACGCGCGTCTTGCTCGTACCTGTGCTCGTACTAGTACTGCGTCGTGTCGACCTCAAGAGTACAGCGCTCGTACGTGAACCATACTCCTGCTAGTAGGATGTTGGTCGAGTATATTGTCTATCTGGTTTACGCCGACATCTTCTTCAACGCGTCCTGCACCTGGACTTCGGCCGAGAGGTACCCACGCTTGTCGTAGTTGGTGTAGTAGCCCATCTTCTTGGGCGGCGGGCGCGCGTTCTGCGGCAACACGTCAAACTTGTGCGGCTTGAGGAGCGCGCGCAGGCCGAGACGGTTGTAGTAGACCGACTTGATCGAGCCGCCGGCCTTCTCGATGGCCTCGATCGCGCCTTCCGACGCCTGCGTGATCTCAATGTTGATCGGCGTCGTCAAGTGCTGCTTGCCCTACAAACGATACGAGAGATGAGCGTGGATGCAGCAACGAAATCGCGTACGCTGGCGAGGAGCTTCACGCCGTGCTTGATGCGCGACGTCGTCAAGAGACCGCTGTCGGTCAGCGTCTTGAGCGTGATCGTCTGCGTCGGGTCGATGCGGCCCATGTCAATGAACAACTGGAGGCGGTCGACGTTCAACGGGTGCATGGGCGTCGCCCACTTGTTGTTGAAGCCGCGCTTGGGCACACGCTGGTGCAGCGGCGTCTGACCACCTTCGAAACCAAGCGCAGGGCCCGAGCGACCCGAGCGGGCCTTCTGGCCCTTGTGGCCGCGGCCACAGGTCTTACCCTTGCCCGAGCCGATACCGCGACCGAGACGCTTGCCGCGCTTGTGGGCGCCAGCGTTATCGGCCAAGTTGTTCAAGCGGATGGGCTCAAACACAGCAGCCATCGGCGCGGCCTGCGTGGACATCGGGCGGAGCGTCATGCGCCCAAGGGCTTGGCGGAGCGCGAACATGCTGCGACTGCTGCTGGACAAGCGATAAGATGACTGGTCTCGAAATCCTTGCTGCCATTGGTAATACTCTAGAGGTTTATCATCTTTGACAGGAAATTCCGGATACACCCTCGTTTCCGGACGGCCCAGCGGCTTTATTTACGGCATATGCCGAAACGAATCGGCTGCGCGGTGTTGTTCAGCGCCTCGTCGCCTTCGACTGCACCAACCTATCCACTGTATTCCAACACCATGCGCCTGGATGTACAATAGTACGACCTTGCGCTTGCAATAGTAAGAAATTAGTCGTTGGAACGACTGCAGATATATTCACCCAAAGGGCGGGATTATTAAAATCGGCAATGCCAAAAATAAAAACATGCAAGGCCGCAAGCGGCTGCGTCGTCTGGGATTTGGCCTGTCGCCTGCACACAGCGCCGTGCTATTGTATGGCGAGGTGCTCTCTTGCGCATCAGAAGCCGCCAAGGCCACGTTTGCATCGTGCGAGGCGCCGCGGTTCAAAAGTGGCACATGCCGCACGCTAAATTTATCGGCGCTGATTGGGCGGTGGTTTTCCCGGCAATCTTGGTTTTGTGGCAAAAATGGACTGGGACCAAGGCGCGGTGACGTCCCTCGCCGGCGGCGCGGGCAGCGCCGGCAACGGTAGCACCAACTCCAACTACGACCTAACGCGGCGCTGCGTGAGCTTCCTCCGCGGCTTCCGCGAGGATACGACCTTTGTGTACCGGCAGCAGCTCACGTCGCACGTCCGCCGGTCGCACCTCCTCCTCGAGATCGAGCTGCGCGACCTCACGTCGTACGACGCCGAGCTTGGCGACATGCTCTTGACCAAGCCAGGTACGATGCTACCGCTGCTCGAGGCCGCGGCCGCGACGGTCGCGAAGGGCTCGACGAGCCACATCCAAGTCGTGCTCAAGAGCGCGTCGCTCGAGTCGCTTCGGTTGCGCGATATCCACGCGACGCAGGTCAACCGCCTCGTCAAAGTCCCCGGTATCATCATTAGCGCGTCCAAAGTCCGCGCCAAGTGCATGTCGGTGATGGTGCAATGCAAGACGTGCGGCCACTCGAAGAAGCTGCCGTGCCCGAACGCGTTCTCGGGCGTCCAGCTGCCGCGCAACTGCGAGCGCCAAGCCGAGAGCCAAAGCGACGGCATAGTGCCGAGCGAAGCGTGCGCCAAAGACTCGTACATCATCGTGCCTGACAAGTGCGAGTACGTCGACCAGCAGACGCTCAAGCTGCAGGAGAGCCCCGAGGTCGTGCCGACCGGCGAGATGCCCCGGAACCTCCTCCTCTCGTGCGACCGATACCTCGTCGACCGCGCGCCGCCGGGCACGCGTGTCTCGATCCTCGGTATCTCGAGCGTCTTCAACTCGGGCGCCAAGCGCCAAGTGGGCGCGATCGCGATTCGCACTCCGTACTTGAAGGTCGTGGGCATCGAGGTATAGAATCGTATCGCTCTGTTGCGATATAGAATTGCACTCGTCGTGCTAGATTGACGAAGAGGGCGCGGGCCGCGCCCGCGCGGTCTTTACGCCCAGCGAAGAGGAAAAGTTTCATGAGATGGCGCGCGACCCAGACCTCTACGAGAAGCTCGCGACGAGCATTGCGCCGTCCATCTACGGCGACTACACGGTCAATATCAAGAAAGCCATTGCGTGTCTCCTCGTCGGCGGCTCCCGCAAGCGCCTCCCCGATGGCATGATTGTACGTCCATTTTCGCTTGATTTTTCTGTATTTTCTGTATTTTTCGTATATTTTCGTATATTTTCGTATATTTTCGAATGCTCGATCCCTTCGCTACAAGCAACCTTCTGGTCGATGCCATGAGCGGTGAGACGAGCATTTGTACTTTGCTCCCTCCCTAGTTTGCATATTGGCGACCTGCGATGGTTACAATTGCGATATACTCATGAAAGAAATGTCTAGTTGCGTGGCGACATCAACGTGCTTTTGCTGGGCGATCCGTCGACGGCCAAGTCGCAGTTTCTCAAATTCACAGAGAAAGTTGCTCCCGTCGGCGTCTACACGAGCGGGAAGGGCAGTTCGGCGGCCGGTCTCACGGCATCGGTCATCAAGGATGCGAAGGGCGAGTTCTTTCTCGAGGGCGGGGCCATGGTGCTCGCAGACGGCGGCGTTGTCTGCATTGACGAGTTTGACAAGATGCGTGAGAGCGACCGCGTTGCTATCCACGAAGCCATGGAGCAGCAGACCATCTCGATTGCAAAAGCCGGTATCACCACGATCCTCAACTCGCGGTAGACAACGTTTTTTTCAAGTGTTTCGATATGGAACGCGACCACTAGGGCGTCGGTGCTCGCGGCCGCCAACCCGGTGTTTGGCCGCTACGACGACATGCGCAGCGCAAGTGACAATATCGATCTCATGAGCACCATTTTGTCGCGCTTCGACATGATCTTCATCGTCCGCGACATCCAGGACGACGCGCGCGATCGGCAAATGGCCGCGCACGTCGTCAAGGTGCACACCAACTCGCTCCAGGCCCACGATGAGAAACAAGGGGTAGGGCACCGTGCTTCTCTTATTTGTGCTGCATTTGTGCTGCATTTGCGCTGCATGTGTGCTGCATTTGTGCTACATTGTTGCCGTATTCTATTTCTCGACGCTTTTTCTAATGCTTGGTAGGAAATTGAACCGTGGCTGATGAAGAAGTTCATTACGTACTGCCGCACGCGGTGTGCGCCCCGCCTCGGTATCGAAGCCACACAGGCGCTCCAGGACTTTTACGTGAGTGTCCGCGACGAAGTGCGCACGCAGACGCAAGAGGCGACGATCCCGATCACGGTGCGGCAGCTCGAGGCGCTTGTCCGCATTAGCGAGAGCCTCGCCAAGATGCAGCTCAAGCCGCAAGCGACCGTCGAGCACGTGTACGAAGCCATCCGAATGTTTCGCGTCTCGACGATGAACGCGGCCAAAGACGGCGGCACGCAAGGAATGTTTGGCGGCTTCCACGAGAAAGCGCAGGAGGTCGAGGCTTCGATCCTGCGCACTGTCCAAATTGGTACGCGCGTCGAGACGCACGCGCTCTACTCCAAGCTCGAGTCGCAGGTGCGTTGTCGCTGGGTTTTTTGAGTTTTTTGAGGTTGAGTTTGAATTGAATGTGGCGCGTAGGGCCACAACCCAAACGCGATCCAGCGGGCGATTCGCGGGATGGTGCAGAAAGGCTCGCTCAAGCAGATGAACCAGTTCAAGTACGTCGTCCGTGCGATTTAAATAGTGGACGACGCAATGCAATGCTATTACATGTTGCAATTTCTCTGTGTGGCGATTGCAAAATGGCTTTTGGTATAGTATTTGTGGTCGGCAGACAGAACCATAGTTCTAGTCCATTTTCGGTTCTAGTCCAAGCGTCGTAGGGCGACGACAGAAGAGCCAGACGAGCCCCCGCGCCGCCGCCTGCGCAGCCACGGACCGGCGAGCGAATGAAGAAGAAGGAGATTGCTAGTCTCTACGTATTACGTATGCGAAGTCTTTGTGTAATTATGAAGATAACGCGAAACACGTTCATATATATATATATATATATAGTCCATAGTCAAGGACGCGACGCACGCCAACGTTTCGCTTGTCGAGTTTGCCTTTGTCAACGAAACGACGCGTGGCTCGAACAGAGCCGCTTGGACGCCTGCAACTCCAACCAGTGCCATTATCTCCATCCGAAAAGACCATGTTGGCGTCCAAGTGCTGCTGTGGGAGCTGGCCATCGCTGAGGTGTTTATTAGGCAGCTCGACCAAAGACTATCGTACACCTTGTAGAGCTCGTCCAGACATACGTGGCGGCGTCATATGCTTCAGGAAATAATTTGTAAGGTCATCCCAGGCAATCGTCGAGGTCCGCCACGACAGCCGGGCACGCAACTTCATCATCGGTCGGTCGATATGTTGTTGTACCTGGCTGCACTTACAGGCCGTTACGCTGCTACGAACTAGACAATAATTGCATGTGGATACTTGCTTCACTTGCAGTTGTAATTCCAGGGCATGGACTGAACGACACAAACGCCTGGTGCTGTCAACACAAAGATACCAGCTGAAGGTACCTAGCTATCGAGTTTGCATCCACATCATTGAATCAGTGCGTTTGAAGAGTAGTATCTAGGACGCAGCACAGTACAGCGAGTCCAGTAGCCTTGGAAAGTAAGGGTGCTCGGGCAAGAAAAGGTCGTCCTTCCTTAAACAAAATGCACTTCATATCTAAAGGATCATATTCCAGCAGCTTCAAGGACGGAGATGGATGGGAGCAATGTCGCGGGCAGATTCTCTGGCGTCTCTGGAGCGAGTGCTATGCCCGAGCTGTCGCCAGCCACGAGTGCTGTCCACATGCCGTCTGGATGTCTTCGGTTTCAACCGAAACGGCTGCATCGACGTGGCGCACTGTAACGCAGTGAATCTCGTCGAATCTGGCCTGCCATATTCGTTTTACTTGAATACACTATACTGTCGAATCTGAAAGATCGCCGGCCGGCCACACTCGTCGCGTTAGTTTTACATTTCCAGTCCCCTCGACGAGCTCCTTTTCTCCATCTGCCAACGTATTCTATCAGCTACGATGAACTCGCCGACCAACAACAAGCTCGACTACGTGCGCAACGACTACAAGATGGGTCTCAACATCTCGATCCAAACCATGGACGGCCTCCCCGAGACCATTGCGGCGCTGCGCGCCAAGCGGCAAGTCCTCGCGACCAAGCGCCAGGGCATCCTCGCAAGCCTCGGGTGCATCCCAGCCGAGGCGCCACCCGCGCCGAAGCGGCGCAAGCTCGAGTTTGCTCGGCTTTTCACCGACAACGTCGTGCCCGAGCCGAGTGTGGCTCTGTCCTAAGCCCGAGAACGGTGGTCGTGTAGAGGTCGATCCGCCTGTATTATTACCTAGTGCTATTCTAATTTATCGTACATTCCTGCAGCTCGACGTGTTTTTTGGTTGCGATGCACCACATTTGCTGGCGGCACCACAAACCCCGAGACGTTCCGACCATGTCCCACGCCAAAAGTCCTAATTAGGACTTTGCTGCGACATGCAAAGCGGGTGCGGCGATGTGGAGATGAGCGTTTCTCACGCTTCTGCTGCGTGGCGCTGGCGTCGACCTCGCGGCGGCGGCGCCGAGAGCGCGGCCAAACCACTACCGTGTACCCCGTACGCTGGTTTTACGAGTAAGCGGTGGCCTCGCCTCGCTGTCGACTCGACACGCGCGCGTTCCGCGAACGTGCGGCGTGACGATTGTGTACAGTGTTGTCATGTCAGCGCGGGGCGCTACAATTGTAGCCGCGTCGGCTCTGGCACACCGCAGTCTTGGCAAGCGACGCCTCTCTGGCGTCACGATCGATTCGCGAGCATGCCAAATCTCTGCGATATATCGCAGATTCCTTTGAGTCACACCATCTTCATGCATGCATAGCCTTTGCATCTCGAAGCATGTCGTCCGACGACGCCCACGAGCTCTGAGGACGTTGACACGGTCCACGAATCTGACCGAGAGTAGTAACAGTTGCTTTGGACTCTCGCCTGATGGACCTCCGCGTCGCGGGCTCGTGAAGATTCGACCGAGATTCATGCGCTTACCGATCCAAGCTATTAGCGAATCTGCGGTTTGGTGCCACCTTGCAGTGTTGAGGCCACTGCTGTGGTGTATCGTTCAATTCGCCTCCATTGCTACAAGCCGTTTCTACTTTTTTGGGATGGAGTACTTGCCCGCGCTTCGCCGCAAGCGCCCGTGGCAGCCCACGAGTCCTGGCGACGTTTTTGCCGAGATCGCACGCCTCAAGGAGCGGCGCCGCCTCATCCAGGCCAAGCGCACCGAGGCGCTCACGAGCCTCGGCTTTACCGATTTGCTCACGAGCCCGTCCACGACGCTCGTCCCTTCTTTGGCGACCAACGAGGCGTGTTCCAGTAGCCTTCGCCCGGCGTCCGCGCCCGATCTAGTGCAGCAGCGTTGCCCCCGTTGCTAAACATTGTACTTTGTCGCTTTGCATACACGGGGTTGTATGCCGGAGCTGGCGGCTTGTTCAAGTTCGCTACTATATGACTAGCATGCGCAGGTGTACGAAGGATCGATCCCACGCCGGTGGTCCCGTGTATTCGGGATTACGAACGTCATTTACCGTTGACGGCTGGGTGCGCGCCACGTTTCTGTTGCCGGTAGCTGGTCGAGGTGGTGGAGGTGGTGGCGAGCTCACACTGTGTATGATGTGGCTTTTGGAAAGCACCCGCGGTAGGAACCAAAGCTTGAAGGCAACGTAGTACCGATGCGAAGGCCTTGGCCTTATCGTAGGTATACGCCGGGCGATCCAGCGCGGTTGCCACGTCTCGCTCGCAACGATGTCGTGGTTCCTTGAACACCCGCGTTCATTTCGGACAAGTCCGAAAGCTGCGCCCTGCGACGTCCACAAAGCCAAGAGATGAAAATGCATGCTTACTCTATACCTGTACTAGGTGTTTGTATTGCAAGGATGCGTGCCTACGTTTGGTTGTAGCGACTACAAACCACGTGCTACAATTGCATATTTTATTCCAAAATAGTCGCCGACATGACGGGGTGCGACACGATTACGTGGCAGCTGGTGAGGAAAGGGCAGATGGTGCGCACTGAAAGAGGTGGCATGTACCCACCTTTGCGTCTGCATTCGCTGGCTCGTCGCGGGGTCACTTTCCAATCTGCCGGATCCATCCATGGTCACGGGCGTCGCCGACACTGTCACCGACTGCAACTACGCGTACTCGTGCTGGGAATCCTCCATCTCCAAGATGAACACTGTCTGCGCCGAGTACCCGCCTTTGTACCCGCGCCTCCAGCTCAATGCCAACATGCCGCCGCAAATGATCGCCGACATCATCATCGACTTGAAGCAGCAGCGACGAGCCGTGGACGAGAAGCGCGCTACTGTCCTTGACAATCTCAACATGACCGACGACGACCAGGACGTCCATGACGATGAGACCAGTGGACACGTACTCAAGAAGCGCAAGGCCGAGACCGAGATCCACCGACCGGTCGCCGAGTTTGCCCGCCTTTTTGTCGGCAACGTGGTCCCAGGTCCGCTGTGCTCCTAGACGTCGACCGCTCTCCCTATTTAAGTTAATATCTCCGTCAAAGCTACACATTTGTTCGCTTGGCTTGCGTGGAGCACTCGGCGTGGCGCCCTTGATGCAGTGTGACGATGCGCGACGATTTCGCAGACAAAACCAGGCATGGCCAATCAATAATGGCGCGGGGGGTTACCACAGGGACCCTGTTGTATTCCCATACCGGAATGCTGCGAGGCGTAGCAATCACGTACGCAATATCACAGAGGTACGTAGTTCGCAGACGCGACGGCGTTCGATACATCACACCGGTATTCTTCGTTGTCCGCGTTAAGCAGCCCGTAGTACGTACTACTAGAAAGATGAAGCGCAAGGGTAAGTGCGTGTGCACTATGGTAGTCACGTGCTTTCGTTGCTCGCTTGAGCGCAATGAGCACAAACCGCTGGACGTATCCTCTTTCATGTCCAGTCTCTCCAAAACGACCACCTCGTCTCGGTGACTGGCGTTGGCAGCGTGGCGTCACAACCGCGAAATGCGCGGGCGGGTCTACACCACCACGAACGACGTCAGTGCAGTTCATGTCGTGTTGCAGCAACCGACTTCGTCAAATACAGTGCATTAACGAATATAACAGTGTTTTGTGGTTTTGCCATGGGCTCTGCTTCACTAGCACTCGCCCTTTGACCCGAGACGCAAGCCCCACCACAAGATGAAAAAAGTGCTCAGGTGCGAGGTATGTACAAGTATGGACCTCCGCATCCATGGACGTGGACGTCTCCTGTCCACGCGGTCCATGGCTTCGTGTCGCATGGACGACTTGTATATGTCTTCCAGTATGCACACATTGCCATACCTGTCGCACGTGGAGACAAAATGAGCTGCGTACGTGGCACGCCCACATACAAGCAAGCAGTTTATTGCTGTCTCGATTCTGATTGCCCTTTCTTATTTAAGGTTTGTATGCATTCTTATTGTCGATTTCAAAATGAGGTCGGACTCAACGCTTGGTATCATATAATGGCTAAAACCAAGTCGAAGTTCGTCGTACCCGAAGTATATCCTTACAAACACCCAGTAAACAACACGCCAGCCATCAACTGGTCTTCTTACCCACTCGGCTTGACCGAGCAGATTCGCACGCGCAGGCCGAGAGGAGGAGGCAAGGGCCTTGGCCTTCGAGTGATTCCGGTGTTCGATGCATGAGTGCACCTCCTTGCTCGACACCGTGGACGAGACCTGGCTGTGAGTAATTAAATAAATTATCTTGCGCAAAGTACACGCAACGAAAAAAACACTTGTCCGGGTTTGGCCCAGATTCGGTGCCGGACCGTGACGAGATGCAACACTAGCCAAGATTCGCTCGCATAGTGGAACCAATATGTGCAAATGGGGCGAGGCGCAGACAGGCTCCATACTCTAGCGGCAACGTATGCATACTTCATTTCCGATTCACCATTCCGTGCAGCCAAGTCGTTCGCGTCCACGGCCTGTCGCTCGACCACCACTTTTGCTTTTCAACGACTGCACGAATACGTACTATGAGCCGCGGCCTTCTCCAGCACATGCCGACGCTGTTTCCGTCGCCGCCGTCGCCGCTCTCGATCGACCTTGCCTGCCACGACATTGTGAGCGTCATGCAAGGCCTCAAGCGCCAGCGCGCCGCGCTCCAGACCAAGCGCGCCCAGATCCTCATGAAGGAGCAAGAGGCGGCGACGCCAACCGAGGTGCTTCCACGCCTTGCCACCGTATGCGTCGAGCCCAAGAAGCGCAAGGCCGAGGCCGAGCTCCCGACCGCACCCAACGACAAGCTCGCCCGCCGCTACGTCAGCCGCATGCCCATGCATGTTTAGCGCGCCGTGTCTTTGTGTGTTGTCAAGTGTGTAGAGCGAAACATTCTACGAGAAGACGAGATTGCACTGGCCGAATGAGGCCTTAATTTAACAAGCTTGCGTGTTTTCTGCCAACTTCGCGTCGCGACCGAGCAAGAGAGAACTCTTGACCGTGCTGAAATCTGCTGCGAATGCAATCGTCCTACCTTCGAGCCACCCTCGAACGCGTCCCAAACTCGGTCATTCGCCGGCGCTTTGAGCGCAAGCCAAGCGAATCTACTCGGCGCGTTGACGCTGCATGATCAGAGCACGGCCAGTGCAGTTAGTACCGTGTAGTGTAGCCACGAACCCACGGCACACCACACGCAGCCGGTAGTTGGCGCACATCTCAGACCTCCACTGTGTGACGCAGTTGGCGCCACCCTCCATGTCACCAGCGACTGGTACGCGGTTCGAATCTCGGTCGCGACGAATGGTCGAGGGAAGATCTCGGATCGAACGATGCCTTCAGTTTCCAAGCCCCTTCACGGTCGACGGCAGTGTTGGCAGATGATGCTGGGGCGAATATCACTGACGCGAGACGTGCTGTGGTGGCGCGACCACATTCGCGAGTATACTTTATTTTAATGGTCTCGAATCTAGCGCTACTGGCCGGCGACGTCAACGAGGGCGCTTTGGCCGTCATTAAATGATATTTCCATCACGGCTTACAAATCACAAGCTAAGCCCATGAAATTTGAACTGTATTTAAATAATCTTGACGCAACGCAGCTGGTTGATGGGCAGTGGCGTCTGTCTCGTTGGCATCGAACCAACAAACGAACGCAGCGAGGGACGCACGCGACACCATTCCTCGCTTCGTACACACGTCGACTGTCGGATTCCATTCGAAATGAAGTAGCTTTGCTCTCGCCTCTACGGCTGCTCGCCAAACCGTCATCGTTTCGGTGCGTCCTGTCGCGCGGGCACTCGCGCCAGTGTCCAACGTCGATCACACGCCAGTGCATGCGAGTCCAACGTGCTTGCTGAGCCCATCAGCTTTGGCGTTGGTGCGGGGAAAGGCTGCCTTGGCCGTCGGTGTCCTGTTTCAGTGCGGCCGTGCCAGATTCGTTTTGTATAGCAATTGAATCTGGTACAATGCCACCCTTGGCCCGAGAAGCGAAAACGACACAGTGGGGATGTTTGGTGGTCGTCGACGTCGGTCAGAACGCGATTTTCACCATTTCAAGAGCATGCCCAGCGTCGAAGCCAAGTTTGTGACCTCGTACGAGTGCCGCCTCCCGATCGACCTCAGCTTTGGCGAGATTCAAAACGCCATCTCGCTCCTCAAGGGCCGGCGCGCGTACCTCCAGGAGCGCCACGGACAGATCGCGACGGCATTTGCCGCCGACGACCTCCCGAGTCCCCACAGCGAGAGCAGCAACTCGCCCCCCAAGACGTACGAATTTGCGCGTCTCTTTCACGGCAATATTGTGCCGCAATGCTAAACACTTATCTATTTCCGTCGTCTCTGTAAAATGTTGTCCAATATATATATAAATATGGATATCGAATGCCTTGTCTACGGGTACATTGACTACCACGCTCTTGACTTGATGCAATGTCGTCGACCCGTGGCGCCAGGACCCGAGATTCACGCCGATCCAACGTCGCCAAAAGCCTGGGATCCCAAGCAAAAAGGTCGCCGTGGCCAATCACAATGCGCCTCGGAGATTCGCTCCGGGTTTCTCCCGGGATTTTGGCTTTGACCTTTCTTGTCACACTCTTCAATTTTGCCCCGAGACTGAAAAAAGCCCGGAAATGGCGTCGGCGCCGGTGCTCACACTTCCCAAAGACCTCACGGCAGACGTCCCGTCGTCCGACATTTGCCAAGCCTTTGAGAACCTAAAGCGGCAGCACGCTGCGATCCACGACAAGCGCATCCAGCTCTCGCGAAGCCTCGAGGCCGACCACGCCAACGACGGCGACCGCGCCCGGCGGCCCAGCGACGAATACAACGAGCTCTTTGAGGGCAGTGGCGGCGGCGCCTCCAATTCGTAGACAGAGGCAGTGCGCTCATCTATTTAATATACTGTCCGCCGTACGGACCTATTGTCGTCGTCGTCGTCGTTCCTCTCGACCAAATCCAAGACTGAGGACCGGGTGGGACCTCACCTGCCTCGAGCGTGTGCAGCCGCGCGGCTTGAAGTACCCCTGGACCAGATATTAGAGCCGCATGGTCACGATTGATGCAGTCGGTCGTTGAACCGAGAAGGGATGGGCTTTTGTTTTGAAACACAAAAAGACCAAATTTGAGTAGTACGTCAGTTTACATTTGACGCCATGACGTACACGTCGCTCGCGCTGCCGACCTCGATCGACGACCTTGGCGTCGTTCTTGCGACGCTCAAGCAACAACGCATGCATCTGGACGAACGCCGAACGCGCGTCGCCCAAAGCATCGTGGAGCCTCCGACGACCAAGGCCCGCGACGAGTTTGCCCGCCTCTTTGCCGACAACCGCATCCCCACACCGCGGCACAATAGCTCGATATCAAGTCGATAGCGTATATGTTCTGTAAAGAGCATTTGTACCATAAAGTAAAGTGTTTTGTCAGTGCCCTTTGCCAAACGACCTAGTCTACCGAGCGCTGGGGCAGCGATGAAGGACCGAGAACGCGTGGGCACATCTTGTCCGACAGGCCATCGAGCAAGGAATAGGGTGTTTTTATCCCACGATAAAGATTGCTTTCCAGTGCTGTGGTGGTACAGCCGCGAGAAGGTATCCATAGTAAGCCTCCGTCCGTGCACTCGTACTTGTGTGGGGGCCCTAGGCGGGGCAGAAAACCCAAGAAAGGTGGGTGGCTCCCGACCTGGTGGTTGTGCCAAGCACGGCGCCGATTACACAGCGTAGCTACTCTCTTTGGTGGACTGTCGACAACGTCTCTGGGCGCGACGCCCACGTACACACATAGACCGGACGGCAGAAGCCGCGTTCTTTTTCAAGGACACCAGCTTGAGCCACGTTGCAGATCGGTTATTCCGCTGTTACAACATATCAGGCCTGTCCAAGGAAGCGCCCTTGCGCCGGCATGTTGCTCGGCTGTTGAGTGCACAGGCGCTGCTACACATATGAGGCGGTTGGTCGTCGGAGCTGGTCGTCGGGTGGGATGCACCGGTCCCGTTAGCAGTCTGTATACTACTGATAGGGGAGTCTTCTCGTCTCGCCACGCACCTGCGGCGTGTGACGTAGTCACGCAGCTAAGCGGCGCAGTCATCCTTTGCGAGCTCACTTGGCCATGCGCTTTGCTTTTCATGACCCCAACTTCAAGAAGCCTCCCTCGGAACAGCTTCACCCTGTGAGCCAGCGACGCGCCTTCGCAAGTGTAGCACCAGGTGGAGACCATCGCACCGCAGCCACCTAGCAGACTGCACACAGAGCAAGGTGTCTTGGCATGGCCCTTGTTGCTCGCCGCGATCACAGCTTTCGCCCATAGGCATCGATGCAATCTCTCCGCACGCTTACGTGCTAGCGCCGATGATGCCACTTTGCACGCGTGGACGGCCATACGCTAGACATGCTAGCGCCTATGAGGCAACCTAGCTGCAGCACGCCCGTGCTGGCCCACCATGCACCTTGCCGTGGTGTGACCAGCCTTGCCGTGGTGTGACCAGCCTGCAAATATGTAATCTGAGAGGTTTTCAAAGATGCATTTTCACAGTATTGGTCGCGCCATACGTTGTGATTGGCCGAGGTAAACCATTGGTTGAAGCCTGTTTCGCGTCTCACTTGATTAAAGTATGCCCTTTGCCCTTCAGTAAAGTCCCGTTCGTTGTACAATGCAAATATTTAAAGTTGTACTTGTTATTTGTATTGCTTTGCGTGAGATGCGATTAAAAGCACCCGCGATGGCGGCCGCTTTTGGTTGGTGGAGGAGGTGCTCAGGAGCTCCAAGCTCGCACATTATTACTTCTTTTGCAGGGTTTAATAACATGGTGTCTCTGAAGCTTCAGAAGCGGTACGACGATGACGACGCGGCCGTGCAGGCGCCGACGAGGGCCTGCATGGCCTGCGTGGATACGGCTGGAGGCTCATGAGACGTGCTCTGTAGTTTGGCCGCGTCGGTCCTCAAGTGCGGCAAGCGCAAGGTCTGGCTCGACCCCAACGAGTCGACGGAAATCGCTCTCGCCAACTCGCGCCAGAACATCCGCAAGCTCGTCAAGGATGGCTTTGTCATCCGCAAGCCGCAGGTCATCCACTCGCGCGCTCGCTTCACCAAGCGCAACGAGGCCAAGCGCAAGGGTCGCCACACCGGTATCGGTAAGCGCCGCGGTACGGCCAACGCCCGTCTCCCGTTCAAGGTCATCTGGATGCGCCGCATGCGTGTGCTCCGCCGTCTCCTTCGCAAGTACCGTGATGCCAAGAAGATCGACCGCCACATGTACCACGATCTGTACATGCGCGCCAAGGGTAACCAGTTCAAGAACAAGCGCGTCTTGATGGAGGTCATCCACAAGCTCAAGTCGGAGCACATCCGCGAGAAGGCCCTCAAGGACCAGTCGGAAGCCCGCAAGGAGAAGGCCCGCAACGCCCGCGACCGCAAGGCCGGCAAGGAAGTCGCCGCCAAGCAGTAAGCGACCATCTGCGTCATCCCTGCGATCACACCACCCTGCTAAGACACAATACAGCTCTTGAGCAAAAAAAATAGTTCTTACATCGTCACTGCTGCGCCATTCGACAAGCTGCCCTTGGATGGGGTAGCTCGACGATATTCGAGCTGCCAGTGCGAACTATAGAAGCGTCAGTGCACGTGTGTGTCCGCGGATGGCCGGGTAAGTGTGTACTGGTAGCATGGTGTCAAGATGCTGATCACGCAGTTGGTTGCGCCATTGTGCAACTCGAGCGGTCAGCAAGATGGACAGCCATGACTTTGATAATGGTCAATGAGGAGCTTCTCATGGACCGTCGCCATGGCGCTCGATACCCGCAGCAACATCCGAGAAGACAACGAATAATGAGCGCTGGCATTAGGACTAGGAGTGGGTCGTCGTGCAGCGAGGGCGAAAGGTCGGGCCCTCGGTGCGCGTTAAATAAGCGGCGATCTTGGGATCACAGAGGATCGTCTTGTATATGGTGTGGAGCTTTGGGTACTTGTCAAACGGAATGCGCAGGACGTTGCAGAAGCGCAAAAGGACGTTGTGGATCAGGTCGAAGAGGTAGACATCGAGCCAAGACAAGTTTGCGAAGAAGCTGCCGGCGCCGAGCGCTTCGTCCTCCAAGTGCTCGAGCAGCTGCGGAATGCGCCGCCGCGCCCGCCGCAGCCGCTTGGCGCGCAGCACGGCGCAGCCGTCCATGTACAGCACCACGAGCAGCGTGACCATGGTATCGTGGACAAGACCTGCAAAGTGGTCGATGCGAAAGGCCGCGAGCGGGTCGTCCGGGTACAGGCCAACGCGCTTTGCGGCGTAGCGCGCGATCGCGAGGCTGCAGCCATACGTCTCACCTTGGACTTCGAGCGTCGGGAGCGAGCCAAACGGCAGGCGCAGCTTGGGCTTGAGGTGCGGGTACAACGCCTTGGGAATGCGCTTGTCTTGAAAAGGCACGTCGCCGATGGTGAAGAGGAGCCGCGTGATCTCGGCGCGGCCAGGGATGTCAAAGTACCGCAGCACGAGGCCATCGGCGTCCGTCATCTGCGCGCGGGCCAAGTTGTTGAGCAATGGTCGTCGACAAGCCGTCGCAGCCGGCTCGTTCGTTCCTTCTGGCCTTCATGCGAATTCCGAAGATGGCCGCGACAGGCCGATTATTATCCAATCACAATGCATGACGGTCACGTGCCGAAAATAACAGCCTTGCACAACTTGTCGTCGGTGGCCGCGACGGGTGCACAACGACGTGTGTCGAACGAGCTGCAGACAAATATGTACCGTTTAGCAAGGCCAGCGGTGTGCGGTAGCAATGGCTATAGCATGCAAGCGGATGCGTCGACCGTGCACCTCGTCACAAGTCGGGTTGTTGAAGTTGATGATGGCACTGAGAAGCCAAAGGATGATAACCCAGGAATCAAGATCTAGCTATATGTGTAGAAGCGGACTAGAGCTTGCGGGGATGTAGCTCTTGCGTTGGGCTACTTGACGATGGAGAGCAGCATGGAGAGCCATCAGATCTGGCAAGTGTGCGACGGTTCGCACCTGTTGGTTGCAGCTATGAAACATTCGCACGAAGACCAGGGTTTTGGTAGCGAGCTACGGTAGCGTGGGCAGCACGCTCTCGACGTCACATGAAGACCACTGCGAATACCGTGTGGTGACAATACGAATACCACCCCTCAAAAGCCCAACGTGTTGTGATTGCGAGACGCTCGCCAAAGCAGGTCCGAAACCTGCCACCGATCGTAACCGCAACTTGATTACGCCACGCTACTTTCGGCACATGCCGAAAACAAAACGGGCCACGACATGAAGCGCCAGCGCCCAGCCGACGCCGAGACGTCATTGCTCTGCATCTTCGTCTTCCTCGACGTCTCGTCGCTCTCTCGTGCGGCGCTCGTGGCTACAGGCTGGGCGAGCGCCGTCCGCTGTCTCCATGCGCAGCGTCGCGCCGACCTCTCGAGTGGCAGCGAGCCGCGGCCGGTGATGGTGCGTGGCGCCGCCGGGTACCCACACGGCTTTGCGTACCGCGCTTCGACGCGTCTACCTGCTGCATACGACTGGCCGATGGATGCAACACGGACAGTCGACGTCTACGTGACCAAGCACGCAGCGAAAGGCTGGGCGCTCCATGCCGCATCCCCGATTTCGCCCGGCGCTTACCTCGGCGAGTACGCTGGCGACTTCGTGCGCACAAGCGACATGAACCGCGCGTCGACGTACATTGTGAGCGTCCGCGAAGAGGCGACCGACTGCGTGCTGCGCACCAACGTTGACGCCGGCCGCGTCGGCAACTACACGCGCTTCATCAACCACGCGTGCTCGCCCAATGCAGTTCTAGACACATATCGCCGAGACGATCGGCGCTGCGTGCTGCCTCGGCTCCAGGTTCGTGCGCTGCGACCTATTGAAAGGGACGACGAAATCACGATCGACTATGGCGTTGCCAGCGGCGTGGGCCACGCGCCGTGCCACTGCGGCAGCGCCAACTGCGTCGGCCGCCTCCCATTCGACGCAAGCCTGTAGCACAGTGTTGTCATCCCAGCTTCAGACAGGCGACGATGAGCTTGCATACAGTGTAAGGGTCAATACACTGTTTATTGGCCCTTGCATACACTGCCCACGGCGCGTCACCCGCGTGCACGCGACTGTTTGCGTCTCCATGCCCGAGATGAAGACTTATATTTGCTGCAGTCGGTCAAGGCAGAGGGATCCAAAGTGACTATGGTGTACGTGCCATATTGACTGCATTTTTAAACTGCACGGTCCTTCTCGACGCGAGGAGCTTGCCGTTGTCGATGGCGGCGTCTCTAGTCTAGGCCACGACCGTCGCAGTCGATGCAAAGTACGTCGACAAGTCGCTCAGCGCCACGACTTGCTGCTGGCGTTCGAGGAGGTGCTTGACAGTCGCTTGCGCCTGCGTCAGCTCGTCTTCGCCGAGCAGAATCGCATACGAGCACTGGAACCCGTCGGCCATCTAAATGCAGACACCTTGTCATGAGCTCGGTCACGGCACAGGTGAGCGCCACCTTCATTTGCTTCTTCATGCTCGCGCCGTCGCAGAAATGCACAATGTGTCCGGCATCGCGCAGCGTCTGTCCATTCGCATCATGACAAAATGTACACAAAACAAAAGACAATATTGTACCTTGGTGACGCGCAGCGCGTGGTCCCGTATCGCCGACGTATTCCCCGACGCGATGGGCACCACCTAGGCGATATCAGCCGCCGCGCTCGATGAAGACACAAGACGAGAGACCGCAATCGTGGTTGGCGACGGGGGCGTCACATCGCTCAGCAGACAGAGCCGCTCGACACCAGCTGCCCACCCTAGTCGCCAATATCATCAGTGCGAGCTGGTATGTGAGCGGTGACGACGGAACGTACCGACACAAGCCGTGGGCGGACCGCCGAGCGTAGCGACCAAGTCGTCGTAGCAGCCACCGGCCAGCACCGCGATGCCCTTGGCGCCTGTCTCGGGCTTGAGCTCGACAAACTCAAACACTGTGTGGCTATAGTAGTCCTATCGGTTTGTAAAGCAACAAAGGGTGCAGCAGAGTGGGGATTGAACCCACGACGTACGAGACCACGCACGAGGCCGTCGTTGAGGTGCGAGCTAATGTTGAGGGCAGCCAAGTGGCTCTGGACATCGTCGAAACGCTAGATCCATGTCAAGCACATGAGGAATGGAGTCTCAACGGTACCTTGCGCGCGTCGTCCGAGAGGTGCTGGTGCAGACGCGGCGCCGACGCCAGAATGCGCTGGTCGTTCTCGCACTTGGAGTCGAGAATACGCAGCACGCTTCCGCGCTCGAGGCTACACACGATGGCATTGGCGATGCAGGAGAGGCCCGTTGGCGGTACCGTTGCTGGCTCTCGACAGAGAGATCGTTCTGGTACTGCTCCAAGAAGGCCTCTAGTACCTTTCGGTAGCGCTGACGGCTACGCAAATAAGATCAGAGGGCTTGGGTTGCGATGATGGAGGAGCACACCTGTCGTGGCAGCCGAGCGTGTTGATCTCGAGCGAGACGCGGTCGCCGAGGCCTAAGCGCGCGAGGCTGTCACGCGCAAGCGCAATCACTTCGACGTCGGTGGTCGGGCCCGCCGAGCCAATGTGCTCGACGCCAAACTGGTGAAACTCACGGTACCGACCACGCTGCGGCCGCTCGTACCTGCACCATCATCCGTCGTCAAGAAGGAACCTGACGTTCGCGCGTACCGAAACATACTGCCGTGGTAGTAGACCTTGTGCGGCCCATTGTACTGGAGGCCACTGCTGATCATCGAGCGAATGACGCCTACGCTCGCCAACGTGAGCCTCGTGTCAGTGCGTCCGTTCTACCGGCGGTGCCTTCGGGCCGAAGCGTCAAGCTGTTCTGCGAGTTGTCCTGAAACGTGTACATTTCCTAGAGACAGTCTGTCGGTGCTTGCGATGAGATGGCGATATGCGCACCTTCATGACAATGTCCGAGCCGTCGCCGAGCGACCGATGGAAGAGGTCCGTGGGCTCGATCGTCGGCGTCTGAACGGGCGCAAAGCCATAGCGCTTAGCCGTCGACGCCAGCGCGCTCGTCACGTGCAGTTGCTTCTGCAGCTCTGTCGGCCAGAGGTCCCGCGTCCCGCGCACGCCGGCCAGCACCTTCTTGGCTTGCTTCATCCTGCCACTTGGACGATTGGTGCTTGTCTTGCCTGTGATTGGACAATATTCTATTTCATGGTCTGTATGAAATAGTATATGATAAACGAAATAGTGTCCGACGGAACCGGAGCCCAGGGGAAGGTGGGTGAGCCAGCAGGGCCATGCCGGCCTTGGGGTTTCATGACGCCCTCTAAATATTCAACGTTACCGGAGCTGC